TATCAGCTTTGGACCTGGGATGTTTTGGCTCTGTACAGTAATTGACAGCAATATAAACCTGTATATATGATTTAAAGACTGTAATTTATATTTTTCATATTCTTCTCAGGAATTTTCAGTGTTCATCTTTTACAAGTCTAGTGACAGCAGTTTTTCCGATATTTTGCATAATTTATGTATGTAGCTTTAGATTCTTAAAATAATAATGATAATGTGATACCTGAGATGTGAAGCTTTTTTAGTTAGATTTTTTAAGTTTTCAAAAGATAAGTATTTTTTATATAAATTGCCATAAATATGTAGCAAAAAGAAATTTGCCTTGAAGACCATAAAGATTTGGATGGGATCCTGCTAATATTGGTCAGAGTCCCACTGTATTTCCAAATGTTTAATTACAAAACACTGGAAATGTTTTGTGATATTTACAAAATTAATTACTGAGAAGTACCCATTTTGAGTTTAGGGATGTATTTCCAAAATTATGTAAGAGGGAATTCTTTATATCTCAGTGGGACAGTTTGCAATTTTCTCTTAAACATGTTTCTCTTAAACAGTCCATTCCAACTCTTCATATTACTATCCTAGTCATTCTCATAACCAGCGTCTGGCAAGATTACATACTGCCTCACCAAGATTTGGTGACTTTTTAATAACTTTATTAACATGGTTCACTTTCTGTTCTTACCTTCTAATTTGTTTTTAATTGGAACTACTTTTTAAGTATAAATCTTTTATTGTTATTTCTATGTGCAGTTTATGGCTAGTTGTAAAATTTTCCAGTAATTCCAAGATACTGATGCCAGAAACAGATTGAAGTAACATATATTACTTATCTTTATTTTCTTGTTCATACGAACATTATATGCATAGGATTATCCCCCACCCTCCAAAAAAAAAAAAAGGACATTGCAAGTTAATTACTTAGGTTTATTATCTTGCAACCTTATCTTAAAGACGACCTAATTATATATGCAATCTTGCTAAATTCACAATCATATATAAATAGTGCCATTTACAATGAAGTTTAACAGAAGAACCTCTTTCATCATCACAGATGGTTATTAAGAATGAATTTCTTCAAAGCTAGTGCACTTTTTGTCTTTAAACCACTTTTCTCTTAAAGGCTGTCCTAAATTTTTTTTATTTTGAAAGAAAGCATTTTGCATGCTAGGAGGTAAGAAACATAAGGAGGGTAATTATAATGGGATTTAAATAATTCACTTACATTTCTTTGCCAATAAAATAAAGCATGTTCTCTTAGGGCTTTTTTTTTATAAGCCCTAAAATATGTCTTTCAATTTACTAATATTATAAAAGAAAAAAAACACAACACTATCATCTTCTTAGATCAACTATTACTGTTTTCCAACAACAGATCTGGCAATCACTCAGAGGCAAGTAGTAGGATGCTTTTTATGTTTTCAAATATATCTGAACTGCTGTTGATTGCTCCCCAAATCAGGTCAGATGCACACTCTGCCAGAACATTTGCCAGAGGTAGTGTATGTTCAAATGGAACGTTTTTACATTCCATAGTCAGCTTCATTTATTCTCCAGACCTCTAAATTTTTCATACTAAGTAGGAGCATCTCACTTTATGAACCATGGGGTTTTTATTAATTAAACAGAGTCAACAGGGCTGATTTATTCTCTCTCTTCTCAGTTGAGCTACCAAGCACACGAATCAGAGAGGAAATATCTCTAATACTAGAATGTTCTCCAAGCCAGTAAATCTGGGATTATCTCATCATACCGATTATGTCAAAGCTCTTTAAGCACAATGGTCACCAGGACATAAAATGGAATGCTATACACACAACTGGCCCTGCTCCAGCATCATAGGAAGAATTCCAAGTTTTTCTTGCAATAATCACAAAGTTCTAATTATCAGAACAAAAACAAACAAAAACAAAACTAGCCATGATCATTTATTGAATATCTACCCTTGCCAGGCACTTCACATGCATTACCTGAGTTTTAAAAGCTTTGGTTTTTGTTTTTACAAAAGACCGGGGTGTAAAATATGTACATAAAGCACAGAAACCTTAACCTTTTGTTGGTTGTTTTATTTTTTTCTAGGAAGTAGCTTTTGTAAGTGCATGTTTGATGTTCGGGTATGTGTTTTTTAACCATATACTAAGAAGTATGCTGTGAACATAGTTTAATCAATATTTTGTGGTGTTACTTTTGTATTTGGAAGAAGATCAGATGTAGATTTGTTGATAAGAAAGCGCTTAGTGAAGTTTCCTGGCAAGGATGACTTTCTAGTGGAACTTCCTATTAGTCATTGTTCAGAGTCAATAACTACATTTTTTCCTAGAGATTTTGCTTTTGTTTCATTTACATTACAAATTTAATGGAATGTCCATATATAGGCAGTAATAATGGCTTTAGCATAAGAATATCATTTTTCAAAAAGTCTAATAGGAAAGCATGCACCTGAACTTGTCCCTGAGGTGGTTGTTCCTATTTGCCTTCCTTCCTACACTCCCTAATTAGGGGACATTGTTGGGGAGGGAAGATTTATAATAATTTAAAGTCTCTTCTTTGGACTAAGATATTACAAATGTGCTGGTAAACATCAAAGTAAATACACCAAGATTTTAAAATTAGCAAAACTGTCTCATCAAGTTTTTCCTTTTAGTTTTAAACAGGTGCTTTATACAGAATGATGTGTCCTCATTTCACCTTGCAACAGCATCCTGGCCCTCTTATGTTACACTCATTAGTATTTCTTTAAAACCACTTTCAATTTAGGCAGACTTCCAGCTTTCCATACCTCCCACCCGACCGCACCCCAAGACCTTGAAATGAAGTTAACCTGTGGAGAATCCAAAGCTTTAGTAAGTTTAGCCTCCGTAATAAAAAATCCAGTTAAACCATAAACCGTTTTAAAGAGATAATAGTAATGTGGATTACCATCAAGAGAATAATGGTTTTTTGTACCACTTAACCACACTCTGAGCTTTTGAAATTACAAAAACGTTTGGGCCTTGCCACCTCCACTTTGATTCTTATAAAACAACTTATATTCATTTACACCATCATGAAACTATCAGTGATATTCCATGGAAAGATGAATTTTAGTATTTAAACTGAGGAGTTGAACAATTTGTATTGGGGGATATGCATGAAATTGGGGATAAAGAGTCAGAAACAAACCAAACTACCACTGACAGTGAAACTGCCCATTTGTACTAAGTCCAACATTTTCCAGTTATTGTCATCAACAGCCAATAAAGTAAGTGCATTTTTGTGATCATTCCCAGATTGTGCTCTGTGGGATACTAGTCCCATGGGTGCTAGCAGGGGCATGTTAGTTTGAATAATACTGCATACTGCTGGAGAGTCCTAAACATGTTCATATAGTTAAGGTTTCAGGAAATCCTGCAGTAAAGAAACCCATTTAGCTCTGTTTAACCTAATGTTGTATCTCAAACCTATTTGACCATAGAATTATCTTCTTTACCTAAATGTTACTAAAAGCACATTAAATACACACTTTGGAAATGTTATTCTGTAATGTAGGAGAAACTTTTAGGTACCCCCTCCCCATTTTATCTGATCCTCGTAAGTGCCAGCCCTCGATCTAAGACATGGTACTACTTCCAAGGTTGAGTTTGAATAGGAGGGGGGTGGGGTAGATGGATCTAGATGGATGAGGGCAGTGAAGTAAGCCAATGGAAGAAAGGATATTGAGGAAGAAGAAATAAAGCATCCTAATTCTGGGAGCTGCCTGTCCAACAGTCAGTAGCTGGGCAGATAGTGGTGGATTTAGGAGATTCATTAGGCAAACGCTGAGCATTGGACACTAGGTCTGAGAAACACCATCTACCAGGTACAGGCACACTTTGTGATGTTTCACCACTTATTGAACATGTCCGGGACCTGTTGGACATCCTTCCTTACCTTTGCTTTTGTTCTTCCCTGAAATGCCTAGTCATTCATTCTGAGCACATCTGTTAGGCACCATAAATTCAGACAAAGAAACACAGTTCCTGCCCTTAAGGAGCTTCTTACTCAGAAGTCCTGAAAAAAAACAGGCACATATATAGACTATCATAAGACATAAGATCAGGAGCACAGATTGGAAGAATTTTGAGGGAGATTTGGTTCTTTAGAATTTGTATGAGTTAAGTAGATAAGCAAGATAGGAGGGAAGAAGACTATAGCAGAGAAGAAAGTATTGTTGAGGCAGGTTAAAAAAAAAAAGGTATTTCATACTATGGAGTATGTATTTGATCCAGAAGGCATGGGTTGACACTGAACTTTTAGCAGGTGAGCAACAGTGTATGATTTGTCATTTAGAAAGATCTCTTGGCTGGAACAGAGATTAAATTAGCAAAAAACCAGAACAGGCAGAGAGACAAACTATTTCAGTGGTCCAGGCTATAGTGCTGGAAGAGGAGACAAAGTAAAAACACCCACAGATGTTTCAGCAGGATAGTCCCAGGACTTGAGAACTGAATGTCAGGTAAGGAAAATCAAGGAGTCAAAGATGATACATACTCTTACATTCCTTTTTATCAAAGAAAGAAAGAAATGGGCTTTGTTGGGCAGCCCCGGTGGCGCAGTGGTTTAGCGCCGCCTGCAGCCCAGGGTGTGACCCTGGAGACCCAGGATCTAGTCCCACGTCTGGCTCCCTGCATGGAGCCTGCTTCACCCTCTGCCTGTGTCTGTCCCTCTCTCTCTCTCGCTCTCTCTCTCTCTCTCTCTCTCTCATAAATAAATAAATAAAATCTTAAAAAAAAGTAAAAACTAATTAAAAAAAAAAAAGAAATGGGCTTTGTTGAATCTTTCCAAGACTTTTTAAAACTGTTGGATGGAGTTCCAGTTACTTTCCAAGACTTTTTAAAACTGTTGGATGGAGTTCCAATTACTTCCTGTCACAAGGGGCTACAGTAGGGAGGAAGCAGTGTCCCCGGGATCAGGACTAGCATGGATGGGTAGAAGGACAGACAGTCTTTCAGATTATAATTGCATTCCTTGTTCTTCTCAAGTCACGTAACACAGACGACATCCTGGATCCATCCCGTGATGAGTGCACTGAACCTGTCCTGCTCAGAGGAGAATGAAGAAGATTGTTCCAGAGAACTTACCGATCAGAAGAGTTGATGGTCTTCTGTAGGAAACTGAGCTCCATGGTCTTCTAATGTCTTATTCCACGTGGATGACTCCCAACGAATAGGAGCAAAACACACTCTACTTATTGAGGTTCTGAAATAGAGACTCTGGATTTAGGCTATTTTTATAACACTTTTTTTTTTCTTGTGATGAGTATTTTTTACTTTTATTGAAGTGTAATTAACATGCGGTGTTACATTAGTTTCAGGCATACAATATAGTGATTCAACAGTTCTATAACAATACTCGGTGTTCATTCATCATGATGAAAGTACTCTTAATCCCCTTTATCTATTTTGTTCATCCCCCCACCCACCTCCCCTCTGGCAACCACCATCTTGTTCTCTGTACTCAAGAGTCTGATTTTTTTGTCTCTTTTCCTCTTGTTTGTTTGGTTTGTTTCTTAAATTCCACATATGAGTGAGAACATACAGTACGGTAAAACTTTTTTTTTCGGTAAAACTTTTTAATGTAAGTGTATACACTTATAAGATCAATTGCCACTATAGTAGTTGTTTAAGAATAATCTAGTTGTGTTTTTTGAATCATATATAATTAGATTTTATAATATGTATATTTTTTCATATATAATTAGATTTGTAATTTTATATATAGTTCTTTATAGAGTATCACATACAGTGGTTTTTATAATTAAGACTTACTGGAAAATTATGTGAACACAGTGAAGCACTTCATTTATTTGATAAGCCACTAACTTTTTATATTAGTATCTTAGGAAAGTGATCTGAGCAAGCCTTTCAGGGTTTCTTAAAGATCACATTTGGATAACTATCTCATAGGCTACAGAATATAGTTTACATGTTCATGGGGCTCTCTAATTTACAAAATGCTTTTCAGACCCTGTTTTATTTAAACCATGCAACATGCCTGTGAGGCAGAACCAGTGGGTATTTTTATTCTTGTTTTCAGTTAGGGAAATAGTGATTCAAAGAAATGAAGCACCTTATTCTGAAGCTGAGATTCACACCTGTCTTCTGATTCCACGTCCAGCCCCCTTTCCATTGCACCCCGCTGTCCCTACAGAGGGAGATCGCAGCCCCACATGAAGGCCACCGTGGCTTTGTTGATACAGCTGAGCTCCACAGCTGTGCACTCCAGTGGCCTTGGAGATTCAGGAGACACCTCTTCAGTCAGGGCCCCCCCACACACAGCCCCACTATTCTCCTCTAATCCCTGTGCCCTCACCCCAAACATTCACCAAGTCAGGGCGTGGTTCTATGATGCCTTTTCAACAGGCTTCTTTGAGCAGCTCATGTTTTTATAAAGTAAAGGGAGTGGCCCACAACAGGGGGCTGCCCTGCTTAGGCTGCCCTTGCCAGAGGGAACATTTATGGGGAGCTGATGAAAAGAGGAGCATCTGGAATCTCCTCTGCTATCAAGACATCCGTGAACTCTCCTGCTGTGAGTTCAAGACTGGTCTCATGATTGCTGATATCACCCTCTAAACTGCTTACACTTTTCATCTTCTGCTATTTTGCTGTAAGGATGCCACTAGACAGTTCCTGGAAGAAATGAGCTGTTGACTTAGAGGGCTAAAGATTTTCTCTCAGTTTAATGATTTAAACCTGGGGCTGGGGGTTGGGGTAGAGAAGAAATCATTTTAAATGTCCTGGGCATTAGTTAGATACCAAATGAATGATAAAAAGGGATTTATTCATATCCAATATTATGATATAGTTAGGTAATAGACTTAGGAAGAAAGTAAGAATCATTAATTAATCAGAATACCCTGCTCCCCAACCATGTCTGATAGGACCGAGAAGTTACTGTTTGTCACTCCCTTCATCCTCCTCACTCCCTCTCCACCTCTGAAAAACAAGTAGGAGAAAGGAACCCCAATCTTCAGGATTACATGATTCAGTAATTTTCAAACATCTTTGGGGAAAAAAAAGACTCATTTGTTAAATGAATTCTTAGAATCCCAATATATGGACTAGTTTTTCTTTTGTTTTGTTTTACTATTGCTGCTCTGCTTGAAACAAGAGAAGCCTGAAGCCCAATTAAAGCAGCACCTTAAAAAAAAAAAAAAAAAAAAAAAAAAAAAGCAGCACCTAGCCCAGCTGTGCAAACCTATAACCATCTTAATAGATGAGTAAACTGAGATCCTAAGAGGTCACAGAGTATGTTAGTTGCCAGGTCAAGATGGGACCTAGATCCTAAAGTCTCCTAGTCTACTAAGTTTCATATGGCACGTAATATAGATGTATATTGTAAATACAGGTCTGTGTTGCACTTACCCATTCACTCCTGAATATATATAGGATTTATAATTTACATCTTGAATGATAACATAAAGTCAAATCCAGGCTGATAGGCAGGCATTAGCCCCAAGAAAAGTTTCAGAATGGCTGAAGAAGACTCAAGCTTCTCCTGACAGCTATGTGAATATTAGCAAGCTTCAGGGAGACAAGTATTGAGAGAAATCCCTGAGGGAGCTCTTTCCTTGTGTCCCCCAGAGGTGAGTGAGATTCTCAAACACCTGAAGTTTACTTTTATAAGTTAGTGTCTGTAATTGTGGAAGTACATACTTTTTGTTGTTGCTAAATTGACAGTATGAAATTTCCCTCCCTCTACTGGGAGTGTTTTTCTAATTTGTTTCTAAGTGAAGAAAACACAGAGGAGATATTAGAATCACTTGAAATCAAGGTCCTCAGGCATGCATTTTACTGACACCTCATATGTTAACTTTGCTCTTTTGTGCTACTTTCTTCCTTGCTTCCTCATGGAATACATCGTGGGAAAAGCCTATGAAAAGTATAATGATATTCTTTGTTGAGGATTTTGTGCCATACATTGTGATGGGCAGTTTGCAGAGATTACTTTATTATCTTCTTAAAACAACCCCATGAGGTAGAAACTATAATCATTCCCACTTTGTAAAGAAGAAATTTAGGATTAGATAGAGTTGCTAATCTTTGCCTAAGGGTCACAGAACACCTACATGTGAAGGTAGGGTTCAAGGCAGGTCTGGCCATAGCCTGTTCTCTTAATCTACTCTGCAGAGCTGCTTAGATCCATTGTGTGTGATACTAGGGGCACAGCTAGGGTCTGTGGGTCAGGTTTTCAAAGGGGCAGATTCCAGCTCAGTGCAATAAGGAACTTTCTGGAATTTAGAGCTCATCAGGAAAGAACTCCCCTGGAGGAAGTGAAAGCACTGTCCTAGGAAGTGTTCAATCTGAATTCCTTATTATGAGAATGGTATTGAGGAGGTTCAGGGTCTGAATTGGCACTAAGATTTCTTCCTTTTTATGCTTCTATGACCTCTCAATGCCCCAAGAGACACTCAACGAAACATGGTGAGGACTCATTAAAAGTCCTTATCCAATGCAAATAGAACCCCCAGATAATTTTTTTTGGTGAGTTAACGTTTATATAGCCAGTCTTTCTTTAATATAAATCAACCCTATTGATGTGATAAACTTCTCTGTTGACCCACTGGCTCAGATTTTAGGATTAGAAAAATCTCAATGTTGTTATGTCCTTCCACCTCACTTCATGAAAGAGTGATTAGGGTTGGTCACCCTTACTCCTTTATTCTCAGGAGTACTTACTGAGTACCAACACTGTGCCAAGCACCGTGTGAGGTAATATAGCAAAGTAGGACAAAATAACCATTTCCTGGGTTTTCTTGTTCTTGGTTAAAAAGTGAAAAGTTTTTCAGGTGGACAGAGTTGGAACAGTTTCCCTTTAACTTTTGGATTTTAAAAATAATCTATTTCCATTGAAAAATCAAGTAGTATGGATTGAATACAGTAAAAAAAAAAGTTCATCTCACTTTTCAGACATAGTCCTCATAAATACCTTGATTAGTATGTTTACTCAAAGTTAATCGGTACTATTAAGCAGCTTGCTTTTGACATAATTTATTGTGGTCACTTTTTCATGTCAGTACATAGATGGTTGTATTTCAGATGTCTGAGTAAATATCACTACCCAGATAACTCATAGTTTCAGCAGCCATCAATCAGTCTGTTGATGAACAGTAAGTTGTCTTCTGTTAAAAACAATGTCACAGTGAATATTCTTACATTCATTAACTCCTCTTCTTCATATATACGCGCACTCTTGTGCCAGTAGGTCTATAATGAGAATACATTCATGAAAACTAATTACTCTATCAAAATTTTGTTCATTTTAATTCTGGTAGATATTCAGAAATTCTTCTCCATTAAAATAGGACCAATTTACATAGTGCGTGAATTTGTGTTCTGTGTATTATAGGACTTTTTTTAGGGCAAAGACTGCCAATAAGTTTTCTGGTCATTTTTGCCCTTAGAAGAGTAATCCTCTTTTTATCACTAAGGACCTGAATTTTTTTTCATCATTAGGTTTTAGTTGTCCCTTAGCAACAGAGAATGCCTCACTATATAGAGGGGAGCCTGGCAGTGACTAATTCACTATCTGTGGAACACATCATTACTCTCCTCTTTTTTTTTTGACATTTCCTACTTTATATATAATCGTGGTGAGAACCCACTTTGTAAGTGAGCTAAGTTGGGTGAAAGCCCTTAGTAAAGTGCAAAACACAATGCAAACACATCTTTGAGCCTTGGTTTCCCCATCTGTATAAGGAGGAGGGCAATCCTCTGACTCTTCTCAAACCAATTTAACTCAGCAACCATTTCCTGAGCACCTGCCAAATGCCAGACCAGATGCAGGGTCTTAAAGTTACCACACCAAATAGTTCTGATTCCCAAACCAAGAAACTCATAATCTAAAGCCTCTTTCTTTCTTTTTTCCTCAAAACTCTTTTATTTTTCCTTAAAGGAGTAAAAAGTCAGAGATTTGCTTAGTAAGAACCCCTGAAGAGACGCCCTTTATCACTCTCTCAAATTCAAATAATTCCAAAATAATATTAACACCCCTTGATTTGAAATGAAAGAGAAACATACTGTGAGAAGGGGCTCTTCAATAATAAATGCTAAGCAGCTGTAAAAATACAGAATCAAATGATACCTCCATAAAGTGTTTGCAAAATTAGAAAATATTATCCTTTTTCTGAGGAGGGAATGGACATTTTCATTTTCTCTGCTAAAGTGAAATGCACCTTTTTCAGGGGCCAAAAAACTTGAATCTTACCATCTACAGAACAGAAAGAACTGAACTACCATTAAAACAACTTACATACTCTATTGCACATAGCTTTTAAGGAGATGAACTTTAAACAGAATATGCCCATGGAAACTTAACTTGAGAAATAAAATACCCAAGATGTTTTAACCACAACTATCCACATGTGGTATTATTGTGCCTGCATGATGATTATGTAAATGTTACATGAAATACTGTGTGTGCTTTCTTCATATGACTTTATGTTTAACTAATACTACTTTC